GCTGTACTTGGGCCAGATAGGGCAGACGAAAATGTGCCATGCAGTGGGGAGATGGGGAGATGGAGCACCATCACCTCAATAATGTCCAGTGGGGTATTACATCTCCTAATGGGACAGCACTCCTGTCGGGTGTTTATCCTGTCTTTAACATGAATGAATAAGCAACTGACACATACCTAAAGCAACACTCCAGTCCTTGGCCAGACTGTGCTTTTGTGGGCTGCAGCTGAGCATGGTAAATGGAAGTGTCCATGCATGAGAGTAGGTCCCAGAGGCATGCACCCCTGCACTCCTGCATACCTGCACTCCTGCACAGGCTTGTCCAGCACCTTCCTTTCCTTTCACAGGACCTGATACAGAGAGGGCAGGGGCAGGAGGATGGGGACATGGCACTCTGGTACCTCTCTGCTACAGTTTGCACTCATGGGCTTGATGCACATTATTCACCAATTATGGCTGGCTAAGGAGGCAGTAGAAGGTGCACTGCAAAGGTAGCTCCTCCTTTATGATTAGAGATGGACATGAACAGTCCATGCTGAACCACTTGTCAGTAGAGTCAGTTAAGTGTTACCATGCTGGGAACTAAATTAAGAGTCTGGTTCCCAAGGCTTTAGTTCCAAGTCTTGGGAGCTGACTGAGGTAAAACTGTTTATTTTTCTCTTTTCTTTTTTTTTTCTCTTTTCTTTTCTTTTCTTTTCTTTTCTTTTCTTTTCTTTTCTTTTCTTTTCTTTTCTTTTCTTTTCTTTTCTTTTCTTTTCTTTTCTTTTCTTTTCTTTTCTTTTCTTTTCTTTTCTTTTCTTTTCTTTTCTTTTCTTTTCTTTTCTTTTCTTTTCTTTTCTTTTCTTTTCTTTTCTTTTCTTCTCTTCTCTTCTCTTCTCTTCTCTTCTCTTCTCTTCTCTTCTCTTCTCTTCTCTTCTCTTCTCTTCTCTTCTCTTCTCTTCTCTTCTTTTCTTTTCTTTTCTTTTCTTTTCTTTTCTTTTCTTTTCTTTTCTTTTCTTTTCTTTTCTTTTCTTTTCTTTTCTTTTCTTTTCTTTTCTTTCTTTTCTTTTCTTCTTTCTTTTCTGCTTTGCTTTGCTCTTGCTTTTCTTCACTTTTCTTCTTCTTTTCTTTTTCCTTACTTCTTTTTTTTCCTCTTTTGCATTTTTCTTTTTCTTTTTCTTCTTCTTTTTTTTTTTTTTAATCTCTATTCACAATTCCCTATGCAAAATTGCCTATCCTACAAAATCAATACCTCACACCCCCAAATAACCATTAGTCTCTCTCCTTTCCCTGCTGCAACTGCTCCTCTGGGTGGCAGGCCCAGGAAAACAGCCAGGACACCACAATCCCCGACAGGAGCTGGCTCAGCCTTCTGTAATCAAAAGGGCACGTTAATTACAACACTTGCCCAGAAAAAGACACACGACTGCCAGTTAAGATGCATTCACAGCCACCAGCAGCATTTTCCTCCCTTCCAAGAAGGGACAACCTTTAAGCCCTAGCTAGAGCTTGTTGTGAACCTAAATAGGACTTCAAAGGGAAGGCGAGAAGGATCGGCAGCTCCTGACTCAAGGAGGAGACAGGGCAGATACATTTCCCCAGAGGCGGGCAACACACAGTCCGGGGGAGGTGCAAGGAATTATTCAGACTCTCTTTCACCCTCTGTCCCCTCCCCTTCTTCTCCTCTTCTGGGGACTTCTATGGTAAAAACACTGGAAGAGGAGATGGGAAGTAAGAGTCGTCACCCTAAAGCTCTCCAACATTAGACTGTAAGTATGGGGGCACATATACGTGTTTAAGAGTTTTATGCTGCATTCTTGCAACTACGGCTATACTGAAGCAAAAACCTCTAAAATAAAGTGGAGATGGCAACCACAAAGTCCTATCCCACCTCCATTCTTCTCTTGACAGATCCCTCTGAACCCTTCAAAGTGTTCATTAAAACAGTATTCCTTTACGCTTTGCTAATTTTCAGTTATTTTCAGAAAGGGAAATAAATATCTGTGGTGAATTATGTCCAGAGCTTGTTTTGCAAACTCCTTGTAGAGAGGATACTCTTGCAACTGGGCAGCAGCAGATACTCTCACCATGTCCAGCACTACCATGCTCTGCAGCAGTTCCTGTCCCTCCGCCTCCTTCCCAGGATTTTGCATGAACAGGCTGGGAGCTGTGTCTGTCTGTCCCAGACGGTCTAGTCTGTTTGTCAGGTGGGCAGCTACAGAGCACAAACCAGTGCTAACATCTGCATGACACTCAGAGGGGGACAGCAGGAGTATCTGCTGTTCAAGCTGCAGGGATGGAAACTCACAGCCCTGCTCTTTCAGTTTGTGACAAGCATGTGACAGGTAATACGTACATAACATATAAGAAGGGTTTCTTTTGTATTTCCAGATTTCCTGCAAGCATTCATGATTAAGGAAGTAATAACCTATGATGCAAAGAGGAATAAAACAGACTTCCAAAATGGCACAGGAGTCGTTTGCACTGTTACTGCATTCGGAGTTGTGGTTCCAGTCCTGCAAAGACTCATGCCCAGGCCTTAAATGTAGGTGCTGTGAGCAGTTCTCCAGGAGTCAGAGTGAGCAAAACTGCAAGGATTAACCAAAATAGGACATGTGTGCTTTCAGACTGCAGTCCATCCAGTGTAGGAGCATTTGAAAAAGTTGTTTGCACACCTAACGCTTTGAGGCACGATCTTGGCTTTGGTGTTTGGGTGCTTTCATGCTACAACAGTAAAAGAGTACCCAGAGAACAAATGTCAAAAACAATATTCATGTATTCATTGCACAAATTTTTATGCTTGAATATGGTCAGGGTCAAAATGTGTTGTAAATGCCAATGTAGTAAATGACTGGTTTATGCTTACATGAATATTTCCAAATGTATTTGGGCTGCATTGCTCAGCCCTACGCATTTAGAATTGCAGGGGAAAGGGAGAGGGAAGGGAAAGGAAAAATAAACAATTGTGGTGAAACACAACCAATGATAGAGTCAGATGTACCTTTTTGTAAAAAAACTCCTTTAAAAACAGCCTGAAAAAACACTCAGGCAAATGCTCACAGAATGATCCTGTTAACTTCAAACCTCTGCAGCAATAAACACCATTTTTAGTTACTTTCCTCCTGCAAAGTCCTGATGCTTTCTTCCTTGATAGATACCTCAGAATGTTTTTGCTTTAACCAGTAACATAAATTCTGGAGTCCTTCCCTTGCCCTTTGTAGCTTTTCTGGGCTCTGGCTATTTGGAGGGTGAGGGCAAAATGCTCATGGGTATGTCTGGCTGAAGAAATCAAGGGAAGTCCCCTCCTGCCATTTGCCAAACTCTGGCCAGGGATGCTCTGAACACATCATTCCTTGTCAGCTTCTCACAGTACGTACTCACACTGCTTTATCATATTCTTTCTATTAGGTCCTAGTCTTTCCCAGAAATTGAGTTATCCTCAAGCTGAAACCTAGGAGAAGCAAATTTGGGTTATTCATAACTCCACTTCTGACACATAGTGAACATTATGCCAGCTTATGTGAGAGGTTAGAAGGCAAAAATTCTCATCACAGCATAAAAGTCCATTTTTTACTGCTTTTCCTAGTTTCAGAGGGGTAGTGTTAGGACTCTCCTCTTATATGCTTTGAACTTTGTCACCTCGAAGACATTACATTAAGAAAAAAAAAAAACAACAGAAAACCCCACAACACAATAGTATTTAAATCAGATGTTCTACCTCTAAGAAGTCAGCTTTTAAGTATAGGGTAATTGCTATTTCTGTCCTGTTTTATTAATTGTTTGTCCCTCGATAATAATATTTCAATTTACCTGTGCAACAGCAACGCTAAATTCTACAGTCCTCTTTACTAACAGCTTCATGGAGAAATATCTGCTACTATGGAGCAGCCCCCCTTTCTTTGGCTGATTTTAAATATACACTACGAACTAAAATGTAGCACTCCAATAGTCTCACATTTTCTTATATTTTGTATTTATCGCTGTATATTTTACTAAGAAAATATTTTCAGCTGTCAGGATTTCTATTTATCTTTAAAATGAAATAATAACTCACTTCATCCATGTGAGAGATCCTTCTTCTTTTTCATCCTGAATTTTCCAGTTTGCCTCATTTCTCTTATGTAGCTTAATTCTGCATAAAAGTTACACAGGGTGAAAGAAGGAGATACCTTTAATATAGCTTTCCTACTGTTAAATATCTATCTTATTGCCCCTTTCAAAAAAAAAAGCAAAACAAAATAACTACTAAAGTGACAAAATGACATCAACAAGTAGACAAAGAGGAGTGTTAGAGGCGACTCAGACCTATTGTCCGTCCCATGTTTTTCTTTCTGGTGATCCCCTTAAAGGCTGCTGGGTTGAAGATGAGCCATTCTTCTCCAGATTCCATTCTCCCCCTGCTTTAAGAGGGTTTTACTTTCACCAGAAAATGTTTATTGTAAAAAAAAAAATAAAAACAGAACACAAAAAAAGAAAAAAAACACAACAAAACAAACAAACAAAAAAACCCAAACACAGCGCCCCCCCCCACCAAACAGCTGTTATACATCCATTGCAAATGTTGTGCCAAACTCTAAGAAGTGCCACCTTGGTTTTCATCTTTCTGGGATTTGAGCAGTTGTGAGCGGAACAGCTGCATATCCATAAGCTCAGGGCAGGTGGCCCCAGCCAGACACGTGCCACTCACAACCACAAAGCTGAAAAATCTGACCAGTTCCTTGACAGTCTGAAAATGTTTGTGAGTTCCAGTTTCTTCTCCTTTTACTTTTCTGTAAAGGAAAGTAAAAGTCCAGTTCAAAACTGCAAAGTAGCTTTCCCATATTTGCATTCAAGAAATAAATTTCACTGCCATAAAAAAATATTCACACCACTAAAAAAAAAAACCCCACAATTTTCTCTGCCCCTTGTAGGAAGGCCAGTGGTTTTGCATCACCATCCATGATGTCATTTGACTCTTTTAGAGTAGTCTGACTGCAGGTCTCGGTGAGGGGTCTGCTTAAATAGAAGTTCAATGTCTTTGGCTCTCCTCTTGCATCAGAAGGATTTTCCTTTCCGAAATAAGTCTAAAGTATTGTCCTTGCAATACCAGGTCCTTTTAAGTCCCGTTGTCTTTACCCGAACTGCGGGCCCACGGTGGGCTTGGAAAAGGGCAGGGGGGAATCTGAGAGTCTTTGAGTCAGCACATCAGCTCAGAAGGGATCCGCCACAGAAGGAGTAACGGCGAGCTGCAAACCAAGATCAGAAGTTGTTACAAACTGACCCGATTTCAGCTCTGAATGCCACCATGTCTAACAGGCAGAGTGCTACAGGGGATAGCCAGGGGAAGAAGAGTGAAGGACAGCTCTAAAACCAGTACAGATCCTTGCTTTTATCCTGAGTCTGCAAACCTGAGAACGGAGAGAAGAAAAAAAAAAGGGAAGAAGAAAAATAGGTACAGGTGTTTAAGGACAAAGGAGAACAAATTGCATTTCTGCCAGCTGAGATCAGTCTAAAGCATAGGGTCTCTAGAGCCCCAGAAGGCTGTGAAGCAAGGACAAGAGCCCAAGCTCCAGACTGGAGCCTGGCGCACATCCCTCCTGCTGTAAATGAGGACACCGAAAGGATCCATTAGGCACTGTGATAACAAAACCAGCATGGAGCAGGCTTTCCTTGCCTTCACAACCACTGATTCAGCATCTACCACTACTAACTGCCTGTGTCTCTGATTTTATCACTGCTACAGTCACACAGCCTTGTTCCAGACACCACACCAGGGGAATGTCATTGCCCTTTTTGCTCAGCAAATGCAATTGTGCTTTCATCTCAAAAACTGGAAGGAAAAAGTAAATAAGGAAAGGAGATAGTTCATGAACCCGCATGGGGTCTAAAAATTACCTGCTCTGCTGTGGCTGCCCTCAGGGCAGCATGTGGAGGGGGCCAAGCAGTGACCTTTAGGGCTGCTTCCCAGCTCTTGCTGCTCAATGCAGAAGCAGGACCAGCACCCAGACAAGAGTACCTCAAAGCAACCTGTACTCTCAGGGTGTGTTTGCAGGCATCACAAAATTAAAATTTGCCTGGCCTAAGAGCCCCGAGAAGAGCACTCAGGACAGAGCTCAAGTGTTGCACATGGGGCCTCCACCCCAGTTTTTTCCCTCCCAGCAGCACCCCAGCCACCCATCCCCCCCAGAGTGGTCCTGCCCTACTACTATGGATGGTGTGGAGTCAGGGAGCAGGGGTACAGCTGACTCAGGGAACTTGTAGGGACCGAGGGTAGCTCATTACCTGTGTCAACATTGAGGCTGATGCTCTGCGCCATGTCCCCCGCTGCGTTGGGGAAAGGGCCTGGTGTCGTCCAGGCTGCAGCAGCTCCTGCTTCACTCTTGCCCAGTTCACAGGGGGGACTGACTGGAGTGGACACAGAGGCGGGTGTGAGGCGGTGGGGGCGGACGGAGGCGGTGGGCACCAGGAGGGAGCCGTAGCGGGGGTCAAAGTGGGGCCCGTAGACCTCGTGCATGGCAGCGGGGCGAGGGTAGGCGGTGCTCTGTGTCCCAATGTAGGGGTGGTGGTGGTGGTGGTGGTGGTGGTGGGCATGGTGCCAGGGCTCAGGGCCACCCTGGTGCAGGTGGCCATGCAGGGAGGCGGGTGCGTAGGGGTCGGTGGCGGTGGCGAAGGGCAGCTCGCTGTGGGCGGCAGCTGCCAGGGGGCTGCTCAGGCTGGCAGGGACCGAGGAGGGTTGGTACGTGCTGTTCCAGAAGGATGGTGGGAAGATGCGCTGGCTCATTGGGAAGGAGCCATCTGGGTGAAGGAAATGGGAGAGAAAGTCAGCAATGAGTACACCCGGCAAGGCTTGATCACCTTTCCCTAGGCCTCTGTCCCTCCCCGATCCAACCAAACCCAACCTTAACTCCCTGAAAAACTACCAAACTCAAGAACTTGCTCCAAACAAATATAGATTCCTCTCCAGCTAAACATCCAACACAGCTAGGCTATGACTTATCCCTGAAGCTGCAACTTTTTGTTCCAGGTTTCTCTTAGTATGTAGGTGGGCAAAAGGCTGTTATCTAAGGTGAGGGAAACATCTCTTTTCTTCCATAGTGGAAACTGAGTGAGAGCTGTTATACCCCACTGAAATTTTCAAGGTTGGATTTTTCTTGTTCATTTTTGTAATAATCTCCTTGTATAAACATTTATGCCCAACACCTCCAGGAAAGCAGCTGCTGCCTCAGCGCAGTTTCAAAGGGGTCAGGAACAATGAGAGATGTGACTAGAGGCCAGTTTGAATTTTCTTAATTTTCTGGGGGCGATTGTCAACCTATGACACCAGACTTATGCCTGTTTCTTAGGTATGTAGTCAACAGGTTTGGGAAGCACTCTGCAGACCTTTGGAGATTTTTCTGAGGCAGAAAAAAGGACAAGGACACTACACTTTCTTAACCCAGTAAGCAACATGCAAGAGGGACTGGTGATTATTAATAGTACAGGTAGATGTTATGCATGATTAATTGAGAATGCACACTATTCCAAAAGAAACAAATAAAACCATGCTCCTGATACATTTTTGCCAGGAGGTATGTCAGCTCTGAGCCCTGGCGTTACTCAGTAGAAGGGGAAGAGGTTCATGATGAAGAAAAAACGCTCCTCTCCTGTCATCAATTGAATATCTTTCACACATTGAATTATTTAAACTATTTCATTCTTAGACACTATCGACAGCAATTCATACAGAGTCTGGGAAATCGGTCTTGGCTGAGCAGGTGGCCCTGTGAGGGAGAGTTAGCAAAACTGCAAAAGAAGTGACAGCCCTAACTGTCTGGCAGACAGAGGATGGAGAAGTTTATTCCCTTCTGCCCTGGGTACCTCTAGGCCTGTCCAGAGTGAATCAGGCATGGATACGGAGAGCTGTGCATAAGCCCTGGTCTTGACCTTGATGGCACACAGTCACAGCCATAGGTAGGTCTAGAAGCCTTTGTTTTCAGAAATTTAAGGACCTTCCCCCAGCAGCAATCAGGGTGATGATACATACAGGGCAAAATATGGGGACAAACACAATCAGTTTTTCAGAGGTGGAAAGCTGATGAGATGGTTCCCACATTTGGCTTTTTGCTTTGTTCTCATTGTTATGACCACGCTAAACTGAAAGCTAGGGTCAACAGGAGAGATGCACAGTCACAGTGCAGTGGTCATTTCATAGCTGGCTTGGCTGTAGCCCCTTCAAGGTAAAGCACCTGCAGTGTAAAGAAAATTCGTTTCCCCATTCCACCTCCCAGGCTGCTTTCCCCTGGGACACTGTGGCCAGGCATGAACTGAAGGGCTTTATTCTTTTTTTTCCCTTAAAAGGGCCAAGCAGCTGACAGCTCCCAGCCAGGGATAGCGGCTCCCAGGGGCTACCCGCCGAGCACCAGCCGTCGGCGAGAGGGAGGAGGGAGATGGGATGCCGAGGTCCGAGGTGCCTGCCTGGAGAGGAACCCTGCCGCCCCCCGCGCCGCGCTGGGTGCTCACCCCGCCAGGAGCCGGCGTTCCGCGCCGCTTTCGCGCTGCCGAGAGAGAAGCTGCTGGGCTGGCTGAGCGCCCGGCTGAAGTGCTCGTCCACCACGGCGCTGATGTCTCCCTGGAAGTAGGTGAAGAGGACACAGCGGGAGCTGATATACTCGGCCTCCGGGGGTCGCTCCTTCTCGGGGCTGCAGTCCTCCTCCTTGATGCTGGCCGCGGGGTGGCTGGAGAAAGAGCTGCTGGCGCTGGCGCTACTGCTGCTCTCCTGGGCTTCTTGCATGTTGGAGTAAAAGGCGAGTTTCTGCGGGAAAGGAAAAAAAAACAGACCCCGTCACACAGCGCATCAAAGTGCTCTGGCCCCCCATGTGCCAGCCGGCATGCAGCGCCGAGACCTCTCCCGCGATCTTTCGGAGAGGATGCAAAAGTCTGGTCCTCGGCTGCTCGCCGTTCCCCCAGCACACACCGCAACCCCCCACACCCCCACATCGCTCTCCGTAACTGCAGTTCTGCCCCGCCCCTGGGAAGCAGCGAAGGGGCTGCAAACAGGGCAGGTGGTCCGAAACCCAGAGGTGCCGGCCGGGATGGAGAAAGAGCCGCCGGGCGGGGCGGACGCGGCCGGGTGGGGATCACACGCCCGGGTTCCCCGCACCAAGCCCGGCACAAGAAGGCGCTTTGCAGATGGCTCCAGAGCGGGGCACGGTCGGACAGCAGCCGGGCACACACGGAGCAGCGACGGCAGTGGAGGGAAGGTGAAAGCCGTTCGGTCCCCGGCTCGCAAAATCTGCTGCGAAGAGTGTCCCGTAACTCACAGCGGTGAGAAAAAAAAAAAAAAAAAGACTCAAATACATTTCAGGGCAAAGCACATCATTTCCCTGGCCAGCAGGACGCTCCAGGTATTTCCTACAAGATTATTCTGTTTTTACTGGATTACGATGGGTGGGAAAAGAGCAGACGTTGAAAAGTTCGGTGGATGTTTCCCATCTTTATGCGTTAGCATGCCTGCAGCTGCTGCAAGTTTCTTAGCAATAAGCGCTGGGACGCGGAGCCCGGGCTTGGATTAGGCGGACACAGCCTTGGTGCGGGCGGCGAGGGAAGCACCGACGGGACGAGGCAGAGCCTTGGGCCAAGGCGCGCGATATATTTCATAATGTCACTCTGCGACGACCGCCTTTCCACTTGGCTCCCAGTTCGGCCATTGAGGTAATGATCACCCCCCTTAATAATGTCACAAGCGGTGTGTCGGGGGGAGGATGAGGGGGTGATGGGAGGGAAGGCAAGGTGGGGAAATACATCATCTGCTATTTGTAACGGGAATTGTGTCCCGCTGCCGGGCAGTGGAGGCGGCACAGGGACCGCCACCCCGGGGGCTGCAGGGAGCGGGGGCTGCTGGCCCCGTCCCGACCCTGCACGGATGGGGCTTTCACCCGCCCCGGGCCTGGGGCGCTGCTCCCTCTACCCATCCCCTTTTTCGTTACGCTGGTGGAAAAAGGAATTAATTTCTGAAAGGAATAAGGGCGAGGGAAAAGCTGGAAACGCAGAGGGGTAAAAGGAAAGAGGTGTTCAACAGGTGCAGCCCGGGGAAACGAGCGCTGACCCACGCGGGACTGTGCGGGTCCCGGGGCTAGGAGATCCCCACGCACGACGGGCTGTGCGTGCCCGAAACATTCCCGCGGCAGGCGGGATCCCGTTATTGAAACCAGGGAATGGGTTGATACTCGCGCCCGCTCGGGCGCAGCCGCACGCAGCGCGGCGGCGGGACGTGGCTCCAGCACACGGAGCACCCGCGTGTCTTGCAGGCGACGGCGCCGCAGGCAGCCCGGTGGGACCGGAGGACGGGGAAGGGTCCCACCACCGAGTGCGCCCTGGGATCGGGGAGGATCCTGCAAGCCCTTGCCCCCTTCGGGGCCGGGGCTTTTCCCGCCGTCGACAAACCAGGGAGACCCCGCAGCCTCCCGGCACTCTCGCCTCCCCACTTCCAGAGTGTAACTCCGGAGCAAACCTCCGAGGCGGCTGTAAAACCTCTGCACGAAGTGGCTTTCTCGGCGGTGGCCGGGATGCCGGCGCACAGGGGTGAGCGATACCCTGGGTAGCCTGGCCTCGCAGCTACCGACGGGCTACACACACCGCGGACATCGCTGCCCCGAGCCTCCGCGCTCGGATGGAGTCGGTCCCGGCAAAGGAAACAGACAAACAAACAAATACTGGAAAACGAACAAACCAATCCCCTAAAGATCCCTCTGAGGGTTAAAATCGCACCCAAGTTCCCAAAGCATCCCGTAGTCCGTCGGTTGCCGCCGGCGTACGTACCCTGCCGAGCCCCGCTCCAAGGTGGGATGCGGTTCTACTTCGGTCACCATCGCAGGCTTACAGATCTTCCCCCCCTCCCCGCCCCCCTTTCCCTCCCCTTCGCCTTTTCCCTTTTTCCTTTTGGTGAGGCCCCAGACGGCCATCCTCCAGATCACACCCCTCCCATGCTCTGCCTCTTCACCGCTGTCCCCCACACTTACCTGGTGATAGGGGCTGTAGGCTGCGGCGAAGTAGGGCTGGGGAGGACCGTAGACTTGGTACATAACATCCAAACAGCTCATGGCTGGCCGTGGCCGAGAAGTATTTTTTTCATCAACTCGTGTTCTGCAAAGTGGAGCAATGCTTCGCGGGAGGGAGGTTCCCGGGGGTTAAGAGGCACCACGCACTGGTGGGAGGAGTGAGGGGGGATAAGGCCGCGGTGGGCTGAGCTGACACCCCCTCCCTACCCTCTTTCCCTGCCTCCCGCCCTTTCTCCAGCGTGGCTCCCTCCCGCAAATGCGCTGGGGCAGGAGGGGCTCCACTGCCGCCGGGGGAATTTCTGCCCCGGGCCCGGTGGGTGGCAGAGGCGGGGGAAGCCAAGGAGATCCCCCTTCCGCAGCCGGGACTACCCTGGAGCTGCGAGGCGGGAGGCGCGGGGAGAGCTCCGACACGCGGTGCCCGCCCCGGCTGCGCAGGGATGGACCGACGGCTGCGGGTGCGGGGGAGACGGGGGGCGGAGGGAGGTGGGGGTTTAAACAGCGAATCAACCCATCTCCGGCTACGGTTTCATTTAATTTCATTTATTTAATTTCTTTTCACGTGTCTCCTGTGCCAGGTGTTGCCCCGCACCCCCCGGGGAGGATGCCCCCGCCGTTCCTCCCGCCTCGTCGGGTCCTGCTCCTGGCCGGACAGATGTAGAGCTCCGGGAAAGGCAGGGATCGGGGTAACACCCTCCAAATCCCACCAAGTCCGGCGTCCGCCGGAAAATGCCACCAACAAAGTCACAGGAGTTGAGAAGTCTGATGAACCTGAGGAAAATCCAGTTTCTCCCGTGGAGGAATCTTTTGAATCATTACAAATCCCGGGAATGGCGATCTTTTGCATTTAATAGAAATTAAAACAACGCCGAGGGCAAAGTCACGTCAAAAGAACAAATTATCGTGAAGGTAAACTTGACTTCCTCCCCGGCTTTCTGCTGAGTGTGACATGCAAAGCTGTAAATAAGTGAATGTATCTTCACTGCTCATTTTGACGGAGTTGCATACATAGGAGCTAGATTACTTTCTAACAGAGACCTAAGTTCTCATTTTAATACCAACTTTTTGAAACATTCAGCTTCATGGTAAGGGTCACAACTACAGAGAAGAGACTTTTTTTTCTTTTTTTTTTTCTTTTTTTTTTTTTTTAAAGAGTCTGTAAATAAGCAGAAACAATACAGAACATACGATAGAATATTACTTGGTTTTCAAATGCTGATTGCCTACAAAAGTATGGGGGAAAATCTGAAAAGAATGAAAACTTTGAATTTTGAAGACCTGGAAATATTTGAACTAATTTTAGCAGAAAATCCTAAGAATTAAAAGTAAATATTGAGTCTATTTTGTTTTCTCCAAAGTGTAATTTTTATATTGCCAGTGCTAGAAATTGTTCTAAATGCATGGCCTTCACCAAAATCATATTTCAGTGCCTGATGAGCATGTTTCAATATTTTCTGCATCCTGTGCAAAGTTTAAAAGTCATATTTAAGCAAACTTTTTTCTCCCTATTCTAGTTCAGTAAATTTGTTTTTCATACTGCAGTACAGCCTGGAATGTTGTGGCTGAGGGTTCTGCCTCAGCACCACTCTTTGCCCCTTCAGCAATTTTTTGTTGGTGATCAAGAAGAAGAAGAAAATGAGTGGAAGGTAATAGACTTTAAAATAAGAAATGTGTTGTATATATTTTAATTTTATTTCTCCTGAGTAGTAAGCAAATAGTCACCACACTGGGAAAGACTCACTCTGTGGCTGGTGTTCAAATTGAGGCAGTCAGCTAAAGAACGCCCCTCTGCTCCTCACAGTGAGAGACTAAGGGATCTTATTTGGGACAATGGGATCTCACTTCTCTGTGTCCCTGCTTGTGAGAGGTAGGGAGCTTTCCCAACCCACACAGATCTGTGCCTATTTTCAAGGCAGCAGTATGCTGGGTGAGGTACCAAAAACAACTCATTTCTCAGGGGGTGAGTCCAGTGGACATACTCCAAAGACACAGCATGCCTTATACAAGCCCTTCCCCAACGACTCTGTGTAATAGCAAAGGTAGGACCTGACAATTGCCAAGGCTGAACACTTACTTCTTGTGTAGAAACACCCAGTGTAACAGAAACATGTGAGACTGGGTGCTGCGTTGTGGCAGATGGTCCAGCTTGTGTCTCCTGGAGAATTTCTCCTTCAGGGCTGAATTTAGGGATTTTACCTCACACTCAAGTATACGTTAGGAGAATTGGGTCTAATGTGGCTTGGTATGAATTCTGTTTCTTTTATGGACAGTTATTTGACTGTAAAACTGTCCAATGTAAGACACTGCCTCCTCTGTGCACTCTGTGAAATAAGTCCTGGTATAGGAAATTATCCTGGAAACCAAGGGTCAGAAACTATATTCACTAATGATCTCACTGCATATTTACAATTATATAAAAATAGTTTTCCTTGGTCCTAACTAAAGAATTTTAGGTGGGTTGAATCACATAAGGAACTACAAACCCTTGGAAAGAAACAGCTGAGTTACCTCAGAGAGGAAATTATGGCAGCAATAAAGGAAAGCACAGCTTTACAATGGACATGGGTTAAGAATTGGCTGTATACCAGTAAAACACTGTCATGGGCCTACTCCTATGGCCATACACTGGTAAACATTTCACAGTAGTACTATGAAAAGAAAATCTTGTTTTTAGGAATAAAGAATGATGGGCTCTGATAAACAGCAAGATGTAGGAACTTACAACTTGCCTCAGAAAACATTTCTATAAAGCAAGTCAATGTTATCATCTAACTAATCTGGAACTTTTCACAAAAGAAGAATTGCGTATTACTGTGAACGTCTCACCTGACAAGCAAACAGATCATCAAACAAAACATCAACATTCAGAAAGACTAGGACAAAAAAGTCATGGAAGCATGATAGCACTGACCATGTTTGTTGTTCACCTTCCCTGGAAATCCTACATCCAGTGCTTGTCTGTCAGCTCCCAGTGTGCAAATGTTTGAGCACCAAACATCACATTCAATAAAAGGATTAAGTATTTAACATCCAGAACGGACCATTCTGTTTTTTCAGTCTTACCACATATATAATTCTTGCTGTTCATAATATACTACTTTAGAAGCTCAGGGAGACTTTCACTGTTTCCAGAAAGGCATGCTTTCTCAACTAGCAGATATCATGAGATGGATGGATGATCCCACTTCCTTGCTGCAGCCATTTGCCAGCCTGCTTAGCAGCCTTCAGTGTTTCTCAATTCCAGTTTGAGCTTGGCTGGCTTCAGCTTCAAGCTGCTGGTTTAAATAATGCCTTACTTCACTTATCTAAACAGCCCTTTCATATGTAATATTTTCTCTTATGGAGAAAATATTATTCTATATAATTACTTTATTCTATATAATAATATAATTTTTTCCCTGTCAGAATAGATGACACTCCTTAACTTCCTACAGCAACTCTTCAAATGGTTTGTGTACCTTTTTTCTTTGCAACTTGTGCCATTTTTAACATTGTTTTAAAAATATTAGCACAAGAACTTGCTATTATTCTAACATTTCTCTTGCTGAAGGCATGCACGAAGTAAAATACCTTCTTAGCAACTGATTCTTATGGCTGTTGTGGGTTTTTTGCCACAACACAGTTTTAAAGACCTGTCATGCTGATGTGCTCTCCCACTCTGATCACCACAGTATTTTCAGTTTTCCTTCTGAAAGTATGCAAAAAGCACGGACGGCTTGGTGGTATGGAACTGATGGTACTGGGAGGTTTCTGGCATTTCTTCTAAGCTCTTTCATAGCTGACTGAGATTGCAAGTAACTAGGTTGAAAGCTGTGGTGGTCCCATATGAGCCTATGACATCTGCTCATAACACCTTGTAGAGTCATACTTTACAGAACCTTTTCCATCACCCGAGTTTCTTGGTCCTAGACCTGCAGCTCTTCAAACAGCTCCATTTATGTGCTATTTCTTCTTGAGAATGCCAAGAGAGTTAACAATGGACTCAGGTATTTCTGAATGTCGCATTTCCCACTTTACTCACCAGTCTTTGTACTACTCAGGTACCTGCTAAATTTATTAGTGTGATATGATATCAACTTTACTGATGAACATCTTGCACAGCTCACAAACTAACTAATATGACTATTTCCTATACTGTGGTCTTATATTGTACTCATATGGGCAGCATTCATATTCCTAAACACTAAAGATTTTCTGTTGACCCACTTCTTGCAATTTTTTTCCATTTCCTGTGTGCATCATTTGTATTCTGCATTGCCTGTTGTATGAGATGATAAATTCAGTTTCAACAGTCTTCCTGTTCCTGCTCTCTGCTTTACTCTCTAATGTTTCAATCTGCCTGAAGGACTCACAGTCCTTCATAGTCCAAAGTTAACGTATAGTTAACTTTCCGTTGAATGCTCTACTTATGGGTTTACATGGGCAAATTTGACTGAAATGAATTAAGAGATAATGCTGTTCCTCTTTCTTATCTTGTCAGTCTTTGTGCTCCATATACCTAAAAGCTTTTTGTTTTTTTGGGGACTTGGCAACTGTTACCATGGTGTTCTCAGGGGTGTTTTTGAGGTACACCTCTGGGCCTGCATTGATAGAGAAGACTTTAGGCTCAAGAGCTGCTGGCTTGGTAGTTTCCATGGGCACTGAATTAACTGACATTAAAGACAAAAATCAGTATTACAAATTTGGGTAAAAAATAAAGTAAGATTCAGGTGACACATATCACTGACTTCATTGTCTCCTTCATTTCCTGAAGAACACAGTTTTTATTTGTTTTTCAACCTCAGAGACCACATATAGTTAATTTTAATTTTCCTTTTAAGTGTGTGATTTTCTTTTCCTCTTTTCCTTTTTTTTTTTTTTCCCCTGTGGCTCAAAGAATTCGCTGTGAGCTGCTAATTAATCACACGTACGGATACTATTTGGTGTGCATTTGTACATGTGACCACACGTCTACTCCAGTGACATGCTCTGAAGCAGCTGGAATGTACGTGGTGATTTTTACTCCATGATGTATTTACAGGGGAGCTGCTGCCCGGCTCAGGGTGCAGCATCTGGCGCGTGTCACTCACCCGTCCTGCCCAACCCTGATGGGCCAGAGGCATCACCTGTCTCTCCTCTACTGATTGCGGCAGATGAAGAGATCATCATGCAGGGCTAGAAGAGAAATCTAGAACTGTCATGAGGGAATATATTCACATATATTCACACGTGTGA